CCTCCACCCCGCTCGATATGCACCGCGCCGTAGGCGGCCTCTACCTCAACGACACCAGCCCCACCAACCCCTTCATCATGGGCAGCACCTTCGGCGGCACCGTCATCGCCCTGGGGGGAGACTCCACCTCTACCCCATCCCACAACCTCGCCGTCGGCGACCGCGTCGTCGGCTTCGTGCAGGACGGCGACCCCCGCGAGGCCGGCTTCCAGGAGTACGCCACCGTGCCCGTGTGGCGGGTCAGTCGCGTGCCGGAGGAGATGGGGCTAGAGGCGGCGGTCACGGTGCCGGCGAATTTGGTCACCGCCGTGTATACGGTGGCGGTGGAGTTGGGGTTGGAGCTGCCGTGGCCGGTGGAAAAGGGGGTGGAGAGGAAGGATGGGGGGGAGGTGGTGTTGGTGTGGGGGGCGGCGAGTAGCGTGGGCATGTATGTGTTGCAGGTATTGCGGTTTTGGGGGTATCGGAATGTGTTGGCGGTGGCGGCGGGGAAGCATCATGAGGTTTTGAGGGGGATGGGCGCGAGGAGGTGTTTTGATTATCGCGAGGGGGATGTGGTGGGGGAGATTGAGCGGTATCTGGACCTCGAGGGGCGTGAGGAGGGCAGGCCGAGGGTGCCGTATATTGTGGACTGCATCGGTTCGCGGGAGGGGACGCTGCGGCCGTTGACCAAGATCGCGGAGAAGGGGAGCAGGGTGGCCGTCATGTTGCCTGTGATCAACGTCCACGCGGGAGGGGACCGGAAGCCAGAGCTTGAGATGGATGTGAGCAAGGCGTTGCCTGGGCAATGGAAGGACGGGGTTGACCTAAAGGGTGTCAGGACACTTCTTTATCATGAGGTATGTTGAGTGAGAGAAGCTCAGTGCCTGCGGACGGCTAGCTAACTCCGGAACCGGACAGAACGAGTTCTTCAAGAACCATCTGCAGCCAGAGATCATCCCCGCCTTGCTGGAACAAGGAGTGGTTCAGCCCAACAAGCAGCGGGTTGTGGAGGGGAAGACGTTGCTCGAACGCGCGCAGAAAGCGCTTGATTTGCTAAAGGATCAAGCTGTCTCAGGAGAGAAGCTTGTGTGGAGGGTAGCAGATGGAGAGATCTAATCGGAGGGTGAAGTCCAGGAGTCATGAATATTACCCCAGGTCGATGTGGTGCGGCTGGCTACATATTGTTGGAAAAGAAATCTCATTAATGTCTAAAGAAGTCTCCTAAACTATTTCATGCCAAGAGCTTTGCCGACGTTGAAGTCAGTTAATTGCGTGTATGTCAACCTTGTTGCTTCATAGCTACACAACTGAGGTACTCGAGATATCCAGCGCCAGAACACAAAACGTGGGCAGTTACCAAACCTGTGGTTGGGGTCAGAGCCAGCCTGGAGCCTGGTAACCGATCTGATGTTACTTCCGGAAGAAGATGAGCCGAGTAGCTTGTGTGATTGGTGGTAGATTCGGTTTCTTGAAACGCGCCATTCTCCTTCTGCCAGCTTGATATCCTACCCTTGTAATACCCGTATAAATGGGACGTTCTCGGCATTTCTCCAGATTGCTCGAGATAGGTGCGGAAACATGTACGGCCAAGACCCACCATCTGACAGCTTGTTCGCGGAGACCGGTCCCCATTGGGAACCATATTGTAGTAGTCAAGGTAGCTTTGTTTCACCACAGCCATGTAAATAGCTCTTGTGATTCCCTCAACCCGGATCTCCGTTCCATCCTTGGTGAGCCTCGAACCTGTCGCTCGATCCGGTACACTCGTCACAGACACCATGATGCTCACGCGCTTCGTGGCCGCACTCCTTGGCCTCTCCGCTGCGGACGCCGCCCTTACCTACAAAGGCGTGGACTGGTCCTCGGTGGTGGTCGAGGAACGGGCCGGTGTCTCGTACAAGAACGTCAACGGCAACGCTCAGCCGCTAGAGAAGATCTTCGCAGACAATGGCGTCAACACGGTGCGCCAGCGAGTCTGGGTCAACCCGAGGGACGGCAACTACAACCTTGCCTACAATATCGCACTTGCAAAAAGGGCGAAGGCTGCTGGCCTGGGTGTGTACATCGACTTCCACTACAGCGACACATGGGCGGATCCTGCCCATCAAACCACCCCTTCGGGATGGCCGACCGACATTGACAACCTCTCCTGGAAGCTGTACAACTACACCCTGGATGCCGCGAACCAATTCCAGGCTGCTGGCGTGCAACCGAGCATCATGTCCATCGGAAATGAAATCACGCCTGGCCTGCTGTGGCCCACGGGCAAAACCAACAACTGGGGCAACATCGCTCGGTTGTTGCACTCGGCGGCCTGGGGTATCAAAGATTCGACACTCAACCCCAAGCCGAAGATCATGGTTCATCTTGACAACGGATGGTGAGTGGAGCCTTGACTACGCGGAAAGGTCGCTGAGCCGAGATGCTGATGAGATAAATAGGAACTGGGAAACCCAAAAGTGGTGGTACACAAATGTCCTGCAACAGGGGACATTCGTGTCGTCCGACTTCGACATGATGGGCGTCTCGTTCTACCCGTTCTACTCGGCCTCGGCGAGCCTAAGCGCGTTGAAGACGAGCTTGACCAACATGGCCCAGACGTGGAACAAGGATGTTGCCGTCGTCGAGACCAACTGGCCAACATCCTGCCCCAACCCCAAGTACAGCTTCCCCTCCGACGTTAAGAATATCCCCTTCTCGGCAGCGGGACAGTCGACGTACGTCACTAACGTGGCCAATGTGGTGTCTTCGGTGAGCCGCGGGGTTGGATTGTTCTACTGGGAGCCCGCGTGGATTCACAATGCAAACCTGGGCTCATCGTGTGCCGACAACACCATGTTCTCGCCATCCGGGCAGGCCTTGTCAAGTCTGTCCGTTTTCAAGCAGATTTAGGTGCGGGCAAGAGCCTGGGCAATTGGCCAAGCGTAGAACGTTCAATTATGCATAATAACTAAAAAAAAAAAAAAGAAAAAAAAAAAAAAAAAAGTACAATGCGTTCTTCTACCGAATGTTATCATGTCGTCGTGGAATTTGAGACCCCTCCAAATGAATGTTGAAAACACTGGCGGGGTTGAGTGAGAGCAGCAACCAGTTCCCAAGCCTTGCCAAGGTCCCATCTCCCGACCTAATGAGCTAATCAACCAGCCACATCAAGCCACCGCGCACAGCCACTCGCACCAATCACAGCACAACCGACCCCCGAGGGCACAGAACCCTACGAATTTTTGTGAGTGGAGTCCCAAGCCGCCAGCGACCCAACCATCCACGCAGCCTAGGAAACCGCCCGCAGTCAAATCCACCCCATCATCGCGACAACTAGAATTTCGCTCTTCGATACCAGGACTATCGAGCAGCGAAATCCGTGATCACCGACAAACCGCAATCATGGCTGACGAATACGTACGTCCTCCCTTCCTCGCCTTTGCCCGATATTTCGATGCATAATCCGCCACGGCCCTTCCAAACTCGCCAAACTCCTCAACATTGAAGGGACGTTCAGCTAATGGCGCGAACAACAGAATGCCGAGGCTGCGGCCGAGATGAAGAAGAAGAGAACCTTCCGCAAGTTCTCGTACCGTGGTGTCGACCTCGAAGCGTAGGTACCACCCTTCCCGCTTTTCAACAGCACACACTTTTGGCGCGATTGGGGCGTGGCTTCGAAACGTGCATGGGGCGGGATATGGAGGGGAGGGGAATTCTCGAAATTCAGCAACGATGAATGGCGGAATGGGACACATATCGCTGACACGGTTGTCTGCACAGTCTCCTCGACCTTGGCTCCGATGAGCTGCGCGATATCGTCCACGCGCGTGCCCGGAGAAAGATCAACCGCGGTCTCAAGCGCCGCCCCATGGGCCTGATCAAGAAGCTGCGCAAGGCCAAGCAGGAGGCCAAGCCCAACGAGAAGCCCGATCTCGTCAAGACGCACCTCCGTGACATGATTGTCGTCCCCGAGATGATCGGCAGCGTCGTCGGCATCTACTCCGGCAAGGAGTTCAACCAGGTGGAGATCAAGCCTGAGATGGTTGGCCACTACCTCGCCGAATTCTCGATCTCATAGTACGTCCCCTCTACCCCTACCTGCAGAAGTCATGCAGACGGCTGACCCCCTCGCAGCAAGCCCGTCAAGCACGGTCGTCCAGGTATCGGTGCCACGCACTCTTCTCGTTTCATTCCTCTGAAGTAAGGCGCTGGGATATGGGTGGTTCTTGCATTCAGTCAATCATGGATTCGGCGAACGGGACACGGTTCTGCTCACGGGCATTGTTGAGTGGCATGTCGACGCTCTATCTGGAGGGATCACGAGATAGTACACAGAGCAATTCGAGTGCTGCATTCGGTCCTACGGCGATGACTCAAAAATTACGGGATGATGTTACGCGGGAACAAGAGCTCGAGATCAGGATGCTGCTGTGACCGGTGTGGTCTGATATACCCTTGTCCTTAGCGACTTTTAGCAGTGCCCGAGACCAGTGCGCGCGTTGTCTTGGCTCATACGCATCAAAGTTGGAGTGATCAACAAGCCGAACTACCTAATTGATTACCAGGGTGATTCGAGGATACCAGAGGCCGTCTCATAGCATGTTACAGATCGAGCTCAGCCCGCCCTCCCGGCAGGTGTCGCACTCACAAACGAAGCCCTTCTCCCGCTTGCCGTAGTCCCACGTCAGCTGCTCCCCTTCGCGGATATCCCGGCGCGCTTGCACGCAGATATGACGCGGCTTGACAAAGTGCGCCAGCCCCGACGGGCCGATGCGCCAGGAGCAGTTCGGCCCGGGCTCGTTCTTATTCTTGTCCCTGCCCAGGGAAGAAGAAGCACAAACAGAGCTCGAGAACGTGGGGCCGGGGGTGCAGCAGTGGTTGATCAGCGACCCAAGGAGGTAGACGCAGGCCTGTCTCGTCGAAGCGGCGCCGGTCATTCCGTTCCCAAGCCCTCCTTCCCCCCCATTCCCAACCGCAGCAGACCCCGAACCCCCGCCCGGCGGGACTTGAAAGGCGTAGTGCTTGAAGAAATCCAGGCACGCCTCGCGGGCGTCCACCTCCGACACACTCCCACCCATCCTCAACCTGGCAGTATACGCCTCATACTCACGCTGCGTGACTTCCGCCCCGGCAAACTGCGGCCTCCCCCCCTCGCCACCAGCACCACCATCCACAACCAGATTCATCCCCATCCCCTCCCCCCCCTCACCCTCACCACCACCCCCACCCCCACCATCCCCATCCACCACACCCAAAATCCCAATCGGCAACTCCCACTCCACGCCCCGGACCCCAAACCTCCCCGCCAACCCGGGAAACGCCACGGCCATCACATGGCGATGCTGCGCGAGCGCGGCGCGGCACGCCGCCACCTGGGAGGCGACCAGGGCGCGGTCGGCGGCGAAGGCCTCGTTGAACAGCGCCGTCAGCAGCGGCGCCTCGTGGAAGACCAGCTCGTCGCGGGCCAGATCGCGCGCCGCGAAGAGGCCGTAGCCGACGGTGGGGCTGATGAGGCGGATGCGCACCGCGGGCAGGGCGCGCGGCGGCGGGCGGAGGAGATGTCGTGGGGCCTGGAAAGGAGGGGAGGAGGGGGGGTTAGTTTGGGGGGGCGTTTCTGGTTGGGTTGGGTGAGGTTTTGGCGGGAGGGAGGGAGGGAGGGGGGAAAAGGTTATGTTTATGTTGTTGGTTGGGAATGTTGTGTTTGGGAGGTTGGAACGTGGGGCAACGCAACCGGGATAGTGAGGTCATAAGATACCAACTGGACCAATTGAGTCGAGTGCTGGATTGGGGAACAAGACGATTATGAATTACATGCCTTTGCTTGCTTGGAGGCGTCGAATACTTCAGTTTGGGCAGCTTCCCCCGGAGGGCTCGCCATGCTGGTGTCAACTGCGCTTTCGAGTGTTGGATCGCAGTCGCGTGATTGAGGCTCGCATGGGCGCGGAATTCACGGTGGACGTGGTAATTATTGGTATAAGCCAGAGGCGGCCTCTGAATGCAACATGTATTGCTGGCAAATGAAGGAAGGGACACAGGACTGCAGGACACTGAAATGACAAAGTTTCAGGAAGGAGGGTTGGGTTGTGGAACTGTGGTTGCCTCGTGTCTAAGGTAAGGTACGGGTGCGGTATGTACAGGTAAGGCACGTGTACCACAACGTATGGGTATTTTGAGACAAGAGAAAAGCCTGGCTGTCGTGTTTCGCTACTCAGAGGCCGCCGACGCAGCCGCCGCCGCCGCTAGCTTCTTTGCCTTGCGCGCCTCGTCTTCGTGGTGCTGCTTCTGGTAGTGGGCAACTACCTTGTTAATGTTCGGGTAGTGTCCGGCTGGGACATTAAAGGGCGAGCCGTGTGTGAATACCCTGTCACGTGGTCAGCATCGTTACACTGATTACAGTTCCCGTTGACCCCGGTCGTGATAGCTGCCTATTGAGGCCCTGGCTGTGAAAATGCTAGGGAATCCTCAAGGAACAAGTCGAGGGAGCAACGTGCCCTCGACGGAGGCGAGTAGTCCGTGGAGACGGCCTGAAAAGGATGGACGCAAGAGTGCCTCCCCCAACCAAGCTGAACCCGACGAAACCAACCCAGCACTTAACCGACCCCCAATCAAAAGCACACCCTCAACTAGGCACACCCTAACTATCCTATTCCTCCAAATTCTAGGTATGTAGGAATCGTCACGTACTCAGGGTAGGACAGCTCGTGGTACGTGCTCCGGTCAGCCGTGTAGAGGAGGTGCTTGTCGCGAGCCGCCTGCTGGAGGGCCGCCGACATCAGGTGGTTCTTCGTTTCCCACTCTGTGCCGTAGTTCGAGACCTTCTGAACCCACTTGTGCAGGGCCGAGAGCTCGCCGTTCTCGCCAGGGCGCGAGATTTGGTAAACGAAGACGGTGCCGACGAACGTGCCCATGGCGATGAAGAATCCAGGCTATTCCGCCGTTAGCTCCTAGTTCCTTATTCGCACCCGTCCATGTGGAGCTCCAATAGCAGCTTCTAAGCTTCGCTGGCAACCTACTCCGAGTGATTCCTCGACGGTGTGGGGGGCGGCGTGGCCATGGCTCGAGGCGTACGACCTGGTGTTCTGGGCGGCGATGGGCCGGGCTGTCCGGGCCTGCCTGGCAAGCTGTGCTGCCCTCTGCCTAAGTGCCGACATGGCTGCAGTTTGTGGTCGTCGCCGGGATGCTCGCGGTCAATCGATGGTGGGGGGATGACGGTTGTCGAGGCCGACGGGTCGCCTCTCCTTGCGGTGTTATCGGTTGGCGCTCTCAAAAATCTGAAAATAGCAGCCGGCACTCGAGGACTGAGGGCGGCAATTCGTCGTTGCGTCGCTTCTCTAGAGACGAAGCCGCAAATGGGTGTGCTGTGAGCGACTAATTGCCAATAACCTTGTTCGTGATGCTGTTGCGGAGCTTGGCACAGGCAGGCCGTGGGAGGTTTAGCACGTGACTTGAAGCTTGGCCAACAAGCGCGATCAAGCGCTTACCAGCCAATCAACAACTGCCCCGTAAATTACAGATTGAGTTTCGCGCCTCCTTGTTCTTGATCGAATCAGGACTTGAGGAAGGAGGCAAAGTCGGCTTCAACAAGTCAATCTGGCCTTTCTTTCAACTTCTGTCCCTGAGTCATTGCGGGGATCAGGGAATGAGCTTGAAGGCAAAAGGACATGGTGTTTTGTTAAATGCCTGAAGATTTAAGATATTTAACGATCCTTTGAAGGAAGTCGTTTTACGTTTTTAACACAATTCGACTTACAGGGTCACATCGACAGCCATTCATTCACCTTCACAAGTGGCTTCATCTTCATCCTAGCACAACACACAACCGACAGGATGGCCAGATTTCGGTTAAAGATGCTACCTATCAATCTCGTTGCACTCATAGGCCTCATGGCCTGGGGGACATCAGCCTCATCAGCCTCCGCCGAGTCCGCTCCTTCACCCTCAGCGGATGTCGAACTCATCTGCCACACCGACAATCCGGCAGAGTGCTACCCGAAGGTCTTCCAGGCAACCGACGAGTTTCAAATAGTCCGCCCGGATCAGGACCTCCCAATAGGCCTTCACGTCCGGCTCAACGTCTATACGGGCCTCAAGGAGGCCAAGATCAACGTCCCCGACGAGCACGACCCGTCATTAGAAGGCTTACCCGTTGACTCGTCCGTGGTGATTGTCGAGCGGGATGAGGCCGAGGAGAAGCTCAAACCCGCGCCCAACGCACCCGCCTACGAGCCGGTGGGGGCCGTCAAGAAGCCCAAATCCGCCGACGCGGGCGAGGGCAGCGCGTTCTACAAGTCCCTGACCATCCTCAAGAAGGGCCTGGACATCGACGGGGCGCTGGAGATGCTCGAGGACATCTCACACGACATCTACTACGGGCTCAAGATCGCCGAGGACTACGAAACGGTGCACGAGCTCTTCTGCCTGTCCACCGCCCCTCTCTCATCCCCGTCCACAGACGACGACGACAACAAAGTCGCCACCACCCTCCGCCGAGCCCGCCTCGCCGCGCTCACCCTCTCCTCCACGCTCCAAAACAACCCCACCGCCCTCGCCTCCATCGAGACGCACTGGCCCAAGCTCGCCCCCTCCCTCTGCGGCAGCGGCAGCAGCAACAGCGGCCGCACCACCCCCCTCTCCACCAACATCTTCACCCTCCTCCCCACCCCATCCTCATCATCATCCTCATCCTCATCCTCATCCTCATCCTCCCCCCTCACCAAAGCCCGCATCTCCCTCCTCAAAGGGCTGCTCAAATCCCCGCTCTTCCGCGCCGCCTCCCTCTCCAACACCAACACCAACAACAACGGCGCCTCCTACATCCTCCGCATCCTCACCACCACCACCAACCCAGCCACCCAGCCAGAAGACAAAGAGGAGTGGGCCCAAACCCAGCGCCGCGCCGCGCTCCTCCTCCTCGACACCTTCCTCGACAGCGACATGGGCGCGGCGGTGGGGGAATGGCCGCCGGCGGGGCGGGCACAGCTCAAGGACGGGGAGTGCGCGGCGCTGTTTGGTGTGGATGGGGGTGATGGGGGTGAGAAGGGCGAGGGGCGCGAGGAGGAGTGCGTGGACTGGTTGGTGAAGGGGTTGAGTGAGAAGTATAGGAAGGATAAGGGGCATTGGAGCCATGAGCTGTGGCGGGGGATTAAGGGGCGGGATCGTGGTGCTGGGGGGAAGAAGAAGGTGGGGGAGAAGGTGGATTTGTGAGATTGAGTGTGAACTTGTTTTGTTATTAGAGTTATGTGTATGTTTTTAGCAGAAGAGGTGTCGTATACCCTGTGTAGGATTGGATAGACAAACAAACACGCATGGCTTCACAGTTTCATGTATTAATTAAGTTCCTTTTATTTTTGCTCAAGCTCTCGGTTGTTTTGCTAACGTAGTGTATATCTGAGCTTTTCGCTCGTATCGTAAAATCGCGGGCTGTGTTGAGTGGACTGGCTGAAAACCTACAGCTTTAAAAGTTGTCTCAGACCCTCGACCCTCGTACCTCCAGCGACTCGTACCAAAAGGCGGTCTAAACTTCCAGACACCAACTGCCAACAGCACGGTCTTGCAGACTGTTTTATGCACGACATACTAGGTCCCCGAAATGTGACAACGCGCTTCACCGCCTTGCTGGGGAGAGCAAAAAGCATGGAAAACAGCTGCGGTTTGAGGACCTGCTAGCATCAGCCATCGGGCGATCCCCTCCGCCGCGTCACACTTGTGTCACAACACTTGTGGCTGCAAATGTCCCGATAACGCGAACAACGGCACGGGAGGAGCCCAAAATTAAAAACCAATGAATGAATGCAGTTCCTATACGCTGCCCGACTGTCTCGCCCAATTTGCCCCTCTAAAGCACAAGGGCGGATATCGTCCAGCTCCGGTGAGGAAGGCTCTAACCACCCAGACTCCGAAGCCAAGAACCCACACCGACAATTTTAGGCGTCCGAATATAAGGAATAAAGCAGAAATTAAGCCCGTAAACCCGTAAGTTGAGATAATTGTACAACCACAGCGCCCAAGCCGCCCTCGACACTGTCGAGGCAACTCCGTAAACCAGATAAAACGGCGGTCAGACAAGATCGCAGAGCGTTTATAACGTGACGGATTGGGTTGCTCCCAGCTGGGGAGACACCCGTAGAAATCGAACTACTTCCTTCGCAGGTGTTTGCGAGCCAGGCGTCGGCGGCCGTGTTTCCGGCGGATTGACCCATGGGAGCAACGGTTGCCGCGACCACAAGGCTGGGGTGGAGAATCCTACTCGCTCGGCCTGACACCTGTGTTCCCGAAACCGCTCATATTCCAACCGGGGTACTTGGTCGTGTTGCCGTTGTTGTCCGAGGAGGGCGGTGGCGGAATCGGAGGCAGGCCATTGCTAGATCCACCGTTTGTGGCAGGCAGCTCCGCGTTAGCCCCCGTGTCCTCCTCGGGCTGCTCGTTCGAGGCCTCGGCGCCTGGCTTCTTGGGAATGACACCCTTGTCCTGAAGGTACTTGAGGGTCTCGACAATAGCGAGATCTTCCTGGTCCTTGTCATTGAGGGTGATGCGCTGCTGCAGGGGTGATACGGCCACCGTTCATCTCGCGTTCCCTCAGGGCGGCTTCGCGGACGGCGGGATCATGGACGAAGCGGCACTTGCCCCGCTTGCCACAGGTGCCCTCTGTAGAGAAATACTTGCAATGCTTAGTCGGATCCGCCTTCCTGGGTGGCGGGGGGGACGTTGCTGGGCTCTTGACGAGTC